ATCCCCAAATCCTGGTTGCCCAACCCCCTGCATTGGAACCACAGAGCAACGGGGGAAAAAAAAAAAACTGATTGAAGATATAATTGTGGAAACACAAAATTAGACAAAGAATGCAAACAATAATCAAAATGATGGCAACCAATACACATCTTTCAATAATAACTTTAAATATCAATGGCTTGAACTCCCCAGTCAAAAGACATAGGCTAGTTGAAAGGATTAAGAAATAGAGTCCACCTTTTTATTGTCTGCAAGAAACCCATCTCACTTTCAAGGACAGGCACTACCTTAAGAAGAAACGATGGAAAAAATATTCCAATCTAATGGTACTAAGAAAAAAGCAGGAGTTGCAATATTAAAATCTGACTAAACAGACTTCAAACTAAAACTGATCAGAAGAGACAAAGAGGGATGCTTCATTCTGATCAAAGGAACAATAAACCAAGAAGATATTACAGTCATGAACATATATTCACCAAACTCTGGTGCACTCAACTTCATAAAAACAATACTACAGGACTTTAAGACCCAGAATAACCCCAACTCATTAATAGCAGGTGACTTCAATACCCCACAGTCTCCATTAGATAGGTCAACAGGGCAGAGAGTTAACAGAAAGACATCTGAATTAAACAATACCATCTATCAAATGGACTTAACAGACATCTACCGAGCATTCCACTCAAGCACCAAAGGACATACTTTCTACTTTGCACCCCATGAAACCTTCTCCAAAATCGACCACATACTGGGACCCAAAAAAAACCTCAACAAATACAAAAAGATTGAAATAAGTCCATGCATTCTATCAGACCACAATGCAATAAAGCTTAAAATTAACACAGGAAGAAACCCTAGTATCTACATGATGGCATGGAGATTAAACAACATACTCCTGAATTAAAGAAAAATTAAGAAAGAAATAAATGTATTCTTGGAACTAAAAGAAAAAAAAAAGTGCTATAGTGTAAGGAAGTGTTTCTGAGATATTTTCTACTTTTAAGTAGCCATGTAAACCAATGGTAGTTGGCTAATTTACAGGATTTATAGAATTAACTTCATGTTGTGATATTTACACTTTAGCTAAGACACATTGAGAACAAATTAGAAGTAACTCCTACAAGTACAGCTGTAATTGATTCTGTGATGGATGCTAAGAAATCTGCAAGTGCTACTCGAAAAATAAGTAGGAAAGGTATGTATGAAGTTTATTTTAAAGATCTAACTATGTTAAATAAAGAGCTTTAACATTTATTATTGTTAGTGTGTGTGTGTGTGTGTGTGTGTGTGTGTGTGTGTGTGTGTGTACACGGGCGAGTGCTACATGTGTTCCAGAGTGTTTGCTTATGGAGACCAGAGGACAACTATGTGGAATTGGTTCTCCTCCTAACTTTATGTGCGCTCCGGGGGTCAATCTCAGGTTGTTAGGCTTTCATGGCAAGCCCTTTACCCACTGACCTCTTGCCAATCTCATAAATACAGATTTTTGGTACTAGTTTCACTTTAGTATTTCTTAATAGTCCCATGTATTTTCTTGCATATTTTGTCAGAGACTGTAGCTCATCGGCATTTTACTTTTCTCTCGTGCTGAGTGGTTGTGAAGCACTGTCACGCCCAGTGGTGCTGCTGTTTTCACCAGGGACTTTACAATCATTGCATCATGTATGGCAGATTTTATTTGTTTATGGTAATGAAAATTCTAGTTTGGTATTTGAGGTTATGCATGCTTTTATTAGTTGATTTTTTGCTATTTACATGTAATATAGTTTGATGGTACTTAGATCCCCTCTCCTATCTGCACCTCCTCCTACTGCCCCCACCCAATTTAATGTACTTTCTTATACATATAATACAGTCTGTAGATTTTTTTTTCTTGTTGTTTTTTTGAGACAGGGACTCACAATGTTGCACAAGCTGGCCTGGAACTCACAGAGATCCGCCTGCCCCATCTCCTGAGTGCTGGGATTAAAGGCATGCACCACCATGCCTGGCTAATGTATTTATTAAATTAATTCATTAATTATTTTTTTTGAGACAGAGTCTCCCTACAGCCCCAGCTGACCTGAAACTCAATATAGGCCAGGCTTCTTCAATGTCACAAAGACCCTGTTTTAGTTTGTTTCTCCATTGCTGTGACAAACACTCTGACCAATATCAACTTGGAGAGGAAAGGGTTTATTTGGCTTACATCCCTTAGATTACAGTTCATCACTGAGGGAGCCCAAGGTAGGAACTCAGGCAGGAACCTGGAGGCAGGACCTGAAGCACAGGCCATGGAGGAATGCTGCTTACTGGCCTGTTCTCCTGGCCCACTCTCCTGGCCCATGCTTTTTTATACAATATAGGCTCACCTGCCCAGGGGTGTCACCACCTACTGTAGGCTGGGCCCTCCCATATCACTCAGTAATCAAGAAGATGCCCCACAGACAT